TAAATTTCTATAGCATAATTTACTTTTTGCTAAGTAAAATCTTGGATGAAGACATCATGCGCTAGTAAAAACAACCTGAACTTCAGAGTCAAGACACTTTCTAGCTGTGTGACTTGGGAAGATCACTTAATGTCAATGATTATAAATGTTCTCGTCTTTGAAGTAGGGATAAACTCACCCTGCAGGGTTGGGCACACTGAGCATCTTGAGGATTTAGGAACTCGTAGGCATTTCTAAATGAAAATTAACTATATTTTTTGTTACTGCCTACTGACATATGTCATTTAACACTGCCTTAATTTTTACTTTACCTGTGCTTAGCTTTTCATTTTTTTTGTGTTTTCTTCCTAACTGTATATGCCTGGGGTTATGTCTTTGATGTATTCTAAAATACAACTTGTAGATTATAGGTATTCAAAACATCATTGATCTACTCATCAGCTTCTGTTCGTGTTGGAATACGAGAATGCTAAGGAAAAAAGGTGGATGAAAAGCAGCCCTCAACCATCTTCAGTAGTTTTTAAATGTCTGTGGTGCCAACATAGCTGGGTGATATGGTTTGAGTCTATGCATTTGTGTCATTAGAAATACTTTTCTTGCATGTCATTATTTACTAACACAATTCAGTAAGAACTAGTTAAGAGAGTGACCACAGGTACAGCCCTTGACAAAGCCTTCTATAAAAACAGCTGTATTTCTTGATGGCCATAAGCACTAAGTTGTTGACTTAGGGCATCACTTAGTTGAACATCTGACTAAGACCCTTCAGGAAGAAGGAGGCACCATGGAGAGCTTCAACGTGCATCTCCTTTGTCAGGTCTGGTGATGGCTGCCAAGGTTCCAGGAATTCCATAGGAAACTCCCAAACAATATTGTGGTTTCTTGTTGACAATTAAACTTGAATTTGTTAAAGTTTCTAATTGGGAAAGTTGCTTATTTAAATTTAACCTTTATTATCATTAAAATGTTCTTATTTGCTTATTTAAATTTAACCTTTATTATCATTAAAATGTTCTTAGTGAAGCAACTCTAATGCAAATTCTATGCACATCCATTTTAATTTTAAAGTTATATGTATCTCAAAATTCTAATATTAGCAGTGATTTATGTTTTTTTAAAAAAGTCATGAAAGCCCTTATTTTTATTCAAAAGCAAACTTGCTAAAAGCTAAAATCTAATATTCCAGATTAAAACAAAAATGCTGTGCGTTAAAGGGCCCTATCTACCGTACTCTGTCCTTTTCTGCAAAATACAATTGTAATACATATCTCAGTCAAAACACCAATACCCCTAATGTGAAAGAATCCTACAAATTGATCAGCAAATGATTTTTTAAATGCCAATACAATATTTGACAACTGATAAGAATAGGAAACTCATGAAAAGGGAAAGTCAAACAGTGAAGAGAACAGAAATCAAAATGCATGCTAGTTTTCATCCTGTAATTGGCAAATGTTAAGGGGGAGCATATCCGGTGTTGGTAAGAATGTATGGAAAATATTTCACATATGTTATTGGTAGAAATACCATTGCTCTGATATTTTAAGAGAGAAATTTATAAAGATTAATAAATACATACACTCTTTGACCTAGGAGTTTTACCCATAAAAATACCAGCAACAGAATCTTAAGGATATTTCAGGTATGGCACATAATGATCTTTTTTGGTTGTGGTGGCAAATAAAAAAACTGGAGATAATCTATTCTGCAATAAGAAAAAAGGCTGAATTATGGCACATCTGTAAGTTATAGTATTAGGCAGTTATTAAAAATGTTGGGACAATATTCACCGATCTCAAAAAGTATACAGGATATACCAGAATAAGCAAACTATTGAGTAATGCATAGAGGATTTATTTTAAAAATCGGTACTCTTTCTGAATATATGTAATACACATCCTTTAACTGTTATATATTCATAAAGGAGGGAAATGTGGAAGGATACCCCCTTTATTAGCATTGGTTACATTCAAAGCCTGAGAAGATGACTTCTTTTTTCATTTCCTTTCTTTTGTTATAGCAATTATATGTTACCTTAAAAAAACAAAGAAAATTTAAATAGAAAAGTCTCAATTATGTAACAAAGTGAATTATAAAGATCAAAGGAAAAATACGTGTAGGGAAAATATGTTTTACAGGGAAAATAAGGTTTATAGATCTAAGGAAAAGTATTTGGGGGAAAATATGGTTTATAGGGAAAATGTGGTTTACAGGTCTAGGTGAAACATATGTCTAGGGAAAATATATGGTTTATAGATTCCCTATTACCTACTGTACTACTACAGAAATTTTAAGACCTCATTACTTAAAATGAGAAAGGATTCAAGCTCATGCTTATAAAAATGTCCAGATTCAAATTCAACAATGTAGATGACTATCATCTATAAGCCAGTTTCCCACAGTATTGAAGATAGAAGAAAATCATGATAAGTGAAGCTGTCAAACCCAGATCTGCATTTCTTTTTCCATTTCTTAATATGCTTTATCTTTTTAAGTCAGTTTCCCATTCTGGATTATAAATCCCACCTCTTTCCTATGAAATCAATTCTTAAACTGAGTATCTAAATCTAGTTTACTTTTCTACTTTTCCTTTGTATACTTTGCTTTGTCTTAACCCCAAATTTAAGGGATAAAATCAAGCACCACACAGGTATTTACTGACCACTCTTAGTGTACTAGAATTTAGGAATCTAGAAATGCTTTCTTAGTGTATAAAGAAAGTAGATGTTTTCTGTTTACTTGAGACATCTACGTCTCCAAGTTTTAACTAGAGTTTTCCATCAAATTTCACAGTGTACATACTTTCCATTTTAACATGTCTAAAGGTATGTTAGCATGATGGTATGCTGAGATGTAATTCTTGGCTTCAGATCTTAGAGGAGCAAAAATGTAATGGTGCATCTTGTAATCAATGGTGCTTAGCATCTTGTAATCAACGGCACTTAGCATCTTGTAGTCAGTGGCGCTTAGCTTTAATAAAGTACAGTGGCAAAGGGGAAAATGGGGAAGGCAGAATATTATCAGAATATGCATTTGACCAGGGTATTGAATCAAAGTTGTGTGGGACACAGAGGATAAAGAACAAAGGTACAAGGGGCCAAAGAAAGTGACTAGAATTTTCCTTTGTGTTACCCCCCTGGGACATGGTGACTGTTGGCAATAATGGCGCCAATGGTTTTCGGTTCTTACTGCACACTTAAGCTTCTGTTTTCCAGGGTCACGGTCCTGCCTCAAGTCTAGCTTGAATCCTCCTTCTGCCCCAACCTCCAATCAGCAT